AAATACTTTATTAAAGTCTCACCTTATGTACATACATATAAAACATATACATATATAAACAACAGCGTATACATAAGCCACTCTAAAAAGAGTTACGAGAGACTGATTAAAACACATATACAAAAAAGAAAGAAATATACAAGCATTAAACCTGTGTAACATCGACATATATAAAAGGTTAATTTCAGCTTATACATAAAACACTCAAAAAAGAGTAGAGAGAAACTGATTAAAACATATTGACATAAAATATGTAAAAGTAATGTATATACAATCATTAAACATATAAAACACTTTTTCTTTTCAATAATATATCATGGCAGATTTTGGCAGTGTAAAGTTGCATATCATCATTATTAAACATAAATATAAGTTTTTCATCATCAAGCATATTTATAAAACTATCGTCAAAGTGACTAGCACGAGTAAAAAAGCTTTCACGTAAATCTGCATATATTTGACAATGCAATAAAACATGTTTTTCATTTTCAATATCATTACAATTAAAACACAACCTTTTTTCTAAACATATATTCTCGTATCTTCCAGTTTCTATTCTAATAGGTGCAACGCCACACCGAAATTTAGACAGAGCACTCCTGTATTTACCAGGCATATTTTTAATCAAATAATTCTCAACACCATATAAACATTTGAATTCTCTGTAAGTTCGTAATTTACTTGTATCACTAGACATCAATTTTCTTAACCAATCCTGCTTAAAATTTTCCAATAATACATTTTCGATACCTTTTATATCATTCATACTTAAAATATAATTAATCAGAATTACATAAATTATTAATACCAAGACTAATAAATTTGGCATTTACTCTAAATTGCCAATTTTTTATTCTACCCTTTCGATAGGAATTACTCTATAAAAAACCTTTTTTATTCAACCTCTCATCACACATTTTTGTTAATCGTGACCAGTTTCTAAATACACAAGACCATTGCTTAATACTACAAGGCATCCAGCCCATATCACCATATAATGACAGATTTGGTGAGTATTTTCCGACACCCATAAAAAAGCGCATGGCTCTAATCTTCACACTGTTAATACATGATAAATCCTTGGTACCCCATATAGCAGCACCATATTCAATAACAGACCAAACTAATGAATCAAAAAAATTTGTAAATGTGGAGTAATGAAAACCTCCATTCGCTTTACACTTGGATATTAATAACCCTAATGATCTTCTAGCGGATTTTGCCACCGCTTTTGCCATATCATCATAACTCAAAAATTCAGTAAAAAGTAAACCAAGATAATTATAATGAGATACAGTATCTATTTTGTTACCATTAAATAAAAATTGAAAAGTAATTCTAGGCACAGACTATGTTCTAAAATTTACAATGTTTGACTTATCTAAATTAACTGTCATATCATTTTTATTGCACCATGTATTGAGTGTATCTAACAGTTTTTGTAAATCTTTTTCATTTTCAGTTAAAAATACATCATCTGCATACAATAATATACAAACTTTATCATTATCAATATTAATACCAATATTTAACCTTTTAATATCATCAATTAAATCATTTATAAAAATATTGAACAATAATGGCGATAATATACACCCTTGTTTTAAGCCACAATTTACGTTAAACCAATCAGTAAAATTACCGTTAATCTTAACACAAGACTGAACATTTCTATACAAGGAATGTATTGCCTGCAGCATTTTCGAACTTATTCCTAATGACTGTAGTTTACAAAACAACAAATCTCTATTAATCTAATCATAGGCCTTTTTAAAGTCAATAAATGCAATATAAGTTGAAAGTTTTCGAAGTTTTCGTGTTTCAATAATGTTTGTTGAAGTACTTATATGATCCAATGTATTTCTACCTTTTCGAAAGCCATTTTGCTCATCATGCAGGAAGTCGAGGTCATCAAGTTTGTGTGTTAAACGTACATTTAGAATACCACAATAGAGTTTATAAGAAGTTGGCGCTAAAGTCAAACCGCGATACGACAGAGGTCTCGAGGGTCTGACGTGGAACTCTTAGGAATTGGAGTAATAACACCTTTTGACCACATAAAAGGTACCTTCCCGGAGTTATAACAAACATTAAACATTCTAGTTAATGCCATTAACGTAGTCTGATTCTTATAAAGTTCAACGGGAATCTCATCATAACCAGGAGCTTTTCCGCTTTTAGAAGACAGTAGAGCGTTCAAAACTTCATCAACTGAAATTTCACAGTCAAGCATATCATCAAGTATAGATTGATTATTTAAGTCATAATCATAATTATTACAATTTCTATTGAGCATATTAGAAAACTCAGATTTCCATTTATATAATATATCATTTTTTTTACACGAAATAGACCCATCACTAAGTTTTACCTCCATAGGAATACTTTTTTGCCGCTCGTTTCCGACACCAATTCTACCAATCTTTTTCCAAAATTCCTTTGGATTTTTACAAGAGTTATCCAAATCTTCTTGAAACAAATACCAGTACTGACGTTTTGAACTTTGCACAGCTTTATCAAATACTTTCCGTTTATTTATAAAACAACTGCGAAACTCTTTCTTTTGATTTCGATTTTTACATTTTATCCATTTTTTTTTTTTTCAGAAATACACACTTCATTCCAGAGAATTGTTAAATCATCATTCCACCATGGTTTCCTTCACTTTCTCTTTTTATTACTAACTCCATCATGTATTCATGTTGTTTTAGATTGAAGTTTTGACGACATTTCGTTTTTTATAACGCTCACGAAATCTTCGTACACACGGTCAATGTTGTCTTGAGTGGCCTCAGAAGATTCCAAGTGCTGAATAAGCCCATTGATTTCAGAAATAGCAGAACTAGTTACAAGCCAATCATCGGGTAGATTGCGTGTATCATTTTTGGTTGTTTTACGTACATTTTGAGTTATATTCAGGGTGTTTGTTTTAATTCCAGAACTAAAATTCAACGTGAAGTCCCATGACAGGAAGGAGTGATCCGGAACTATTCTGGTCAGATTGTATTTACCGATGGCACAAGTTTCATTAATTATTTCGCTTGTTCTAGTTACTTTGAAATTATCGAAACAGTCAAGCATTTCGTATGGTACTACACAATAATCTACGACGCTACTACCACGTGAAGATACAAATGTAAAGTCGTTTTTAACTGTTTTGCGTCCATTTAAAATACAACAGTTTACGTCAATTAAGAAATCACAAAAAGTACTACCATAACTATTATGATGAAAGTCAATTACATGTCTTTCGGGTAAACTGTCTATTCCAGCAATCGAATCCGACAAATCGGAACATCTACTATTCCAATCGCCACACAAATAAAACGGAGACCCTTGAGGAAGGGTGTAGATTTTTGACATTAAGGTTTCAAAAAATTCGTTCACGTTTACTGCCCGTGTGGAGTTTTCAGGTGGCAAATATACAACACAAACACAGAAAGTGTTCTGTAAACAGTTTTTATCCTCCAATCTCACCCACAATATTCCATCAGTATCATTGTCAATTATTTCAACATCAAATTGACTGCAAATATCATTGCAAATTAAAAGTCCGACCCCACCAGAACCAGTTTTCGCTCGCACGTGAATGTTTTTACGATTAAAACCGAACCAGTTATAACCATCCACTTCAATGCCTTTATTACCGGTCAAATGCGTTTCCGCAATTCCAATCATATGCAGATTATAATATTTAAAACATGAATCTAAAAAGTTAAACTTGTCACTATGTACATTGGTATTCCATCCATTAACATTCCAAAATCCGCAAGATAACTAATGTCCACCTCCTCTACCGGAATGCGGTCTTCTGTCGAAATGCTGACTTCTACCACGACTGTAATTACCACGACCACGTCCGTTATAATTTCGACTTCGATCGTTATTGTTCGATTTCACATTTCTGTCTTGTTGATTTTGTTGATTTTCAAGGTGTTTTGATGATGTGTTGTATATGGACCTATCTACTTCACCTCTCTGACTGTTTTTATCAAATTTTGGTTTCACAACTGTTCCCTTGATATCTAACTTATGTTCGCCAATAGTTTTCACAATATGCTTCAGGCTAGCATTTAAAATCCGCTGCGCTTTAGGAACTGAATGTTCAATGAATACATTATTAAAATTCCGAGATTCTTTTAAGCTACTCTTTTTCTCCATCACTTTTCGCTTGTCTTCTGCAGACGCAAAGCCAACTACAACAACACCATGTTTTCCGGGGTGATTATCAAATTTACGCTCCGCCGATAAAGGTTTAACATCCTTTAGTCGCAAACCATCCTTGATCAATGCAGTTGCATTTTTCAACACATTTTCGGTTTCGGTCTGCGGTAAATTTTGCACAACAACAAGCAGCTTTTCGTCGTTTACAAAGGATTTCTGTTTCAATACATCTGCATAAGATTTTTCGAGACTAGTAACTTTATCCGAATCGGATACTACTTTAATATCCTCTTGAAATTTATGGGTTACCTTTTTTAATTCCTCAGACACTTTGATATCAATTAAGTTTGCAATTTGAATAGGAATACTTGTTTCGATACTATCCATCCTTTTGGTAATAATGTCAACAAAATTATTTAAACCACTTCTTAATCCGATCACTAGACCTTTTAATTCACTAATATCACTTTTATTAGAGTCTGAAGAGTGTTCACTTGAAATGAAATTCTTACTACACTGTGGTGAATCCGTTAGTCGAATAATATCATTCGCATTATCTACAGTTGTAGGTTTCAATTTCTTGACACTGTTTAAGAGGGAATCTGATTCCAATCGCCTTTTTGTCCTTCCATTACTATAGTTTAAGTTACTCACGATTCCTTCTGTGTTGACATCAGCCTTTGTGACGATTTCATTTACTTTGTGCGGAACCATCACCGACTGTACGTATGTGTCTGCTGCGCTCATATTCAGTGGATCAAATTCTAGCATATCGAAACTACTCATTATTGCACAGCAGCTAACTAACAATATAAAAAATAATAACAAGCTCAGTATTTCACAAGCAAATTTTAATCAGACTAGATATGGCATCTCTACCTCTACTTTCTAATCTTTAAAAACCTAAAAAAAAAACGTAAAAACAAAAGCATAATCAGTGTGGACTAACCCCTAAGAGGCTGTGCCAATTAGCATAGAGCTTCAGGTGGAAAGTGAAAAAAAAATTAAAAAACATAAAACTTCTGTTAAAATGAACATCTTAGGCTTATAAGACTATATTACAAATAATGAAGACAAATTGAAAGAAATCAAGCTTTATTAGCAGTCAAATAATGGTTATTATAGAAACTAGTCAATCTGAAACACTATTTTTGGTAAAATAAACTCGATATTTCCACATAAAATATAATATTAGAATTAAGAATATTGGTCACTGCAAGTAAGTATTTTAATTATATAACCTTAAAATGATAAGCTAAAAAAAATGTATCTGAAAAAAAGGTTTATTTATGGTTGCTATGGTAACAGGAAAATCAAATGGTTCAAGTGTATAAATTTTACACAAAAATAAGCAGTTTTGGGGTCAAAATGGAAAAAAATCCAGATGTCTGCAACATAAAATATGGTACTGAAAAAAATAAGTGACTATCATATAATTAAAAGAAAAATAAAATTGAGTAGACATTTGTATATATATTTGTGGCAGCTAACCAACATTATGCTATATCGGAATCAATTTTGTACAAAAACTAGAAATATTGTCACTTTAGGGGTCAATATTATAAAAATGGTTACACATATGATTTAATTTGTACTGCAAAACAAATGTCACACAAAAGCGTTTTCAACTGAGTAGGAAAATAAGCATAAAATCTCCAAGGCAACCATCTGTTTTGCATAGCAACCAACTGAGGCTGAAAATATACAATGCTGATTTTTAACAAAATGCACAAAAAGTAGGCACTTGAAGCCTGATGGGAAATAAAAAAAAAACCCAAAGCAGTCCAATTGTGCTTAAAGATATGCGAAAATCTCCTTCGCGACACTACATTCATGACATAAATGCCTAGTAACCAACTGATATTTGAAAATACCCAAGCTCAATTCATGGATAACAAGCACAATTTAAAAAAAAATGCCTGAATAAAATCAAAAATAACAAAAGAAGATCAATTATGCATAATGATATTTAAAAATATCTAAAGCAACACCGCTTTTTGCATAGCAACCAACATATGTGGTGTAAGTTGTATGCAAAGATTATTAGTAAAATAGTCTTTTGAGAGCCTGAATTATTCACCTGTCATTTTTTGTGTAAATCTTGCATCAATGATTATTTTTGATATTCAATGCTTATCAATTAAATGTGTATTTAAACATGCTAAATTTCGGGAGAAAAAACTTCAGTAAAATCATCTTTCAAGGGCAATAACTTGTATAGGCAGGTAGTTGAATATTACTGTAAATTTAACAATTTTGAAAATCTTACTTTGATGAACATTTTTGCTGTTTCCATTTTTTCCATTTTTTAGAGGCCATGTTATTAAATTCAGTTTTTTCTTTTGTCAATTATTTCATTAATGCAACAGGAAATTCATGAGAAATTATGGTTTCCAAATGTTATTCTCTGAACCATTTGCTTATTTGCTAATTGAAACCCTCCTGTATGGAAAATTGAACCCCCTGTTCATCCAAGACACTAATTGGAACATAACATAATGGTACACGTAGTTTTAAAATGCTGTGATTCCTAACCTACGCATTATTAAGATGGACAGCACATGATTTGTTATAAATTGAAATTCTGTATCATATGGAGGGTTCAGTTTTCCATGGTAGGGGGCTCAATTTTCCATGTCTAAGTTAATATGTTTCAAAATCATTTCTTAAAAGTTTTATTCATACCAAAAACTTATTTATGTATTATTTCTATATAACACAGCTGGAATAGATATGACAATTTGAAAATCTGAGGTCTATTTAAGGGTATCACAGGGGGTTCAATTTCCATTTGGGGGGGGGGGGGGGGATTTTGACCACGGGTTCAATTTTCCATATGGAAAATGGACCCAGTGTGCAATTTCCAGGGGGGTCAATTTTCCATATGACACCGGCTATAAATGTTCACAGGACATAAGACTATTCAACTACCAATCATCAGTATTTATTTTTTTATATTTTTTTCTTACGTAGTTACACTAGGACTTCAAACTCCTTGCATTGTTTCGTTAAACTGCAAACACTGCCTTAAAAGATTTCATCAATATTTAGACAATGGGGGACGACCATTTGATTTTCTTGGGGGAGGAGAGGTTTTGTGCATTGACTACTGATTTTCATCTGTTGCCATGAATCAACTACCAATCCTCTATTGTGTGATGCTAAATCACAATGATATCAACGTATTGTATAGGAGTAACGTGACGGTTGTCTCATGTAGAGCATGAACTGGTTTCCTTTCTGAAGCTCCTGAGATCATTTCTGGTTTTTGATGGGGTTTGTGTTGCTAAGTCTTCAGTTTTCTATGTTGTGTTTTGTATACTGTTGTGTGTCTTTTTGGTAGTTTTTTTTTGTCAAAGCATTGTCCATATCAAAAGAAGAAGGTGTGGTATGATTGCCAATGAGAAAACTCGCTACCAGGGACCAAATGACATAGAAGTTTACAACTATAGGTCACCGTACAGACTTCATCAATGAGCAAAACCAGTCAGTTCGTTTTCGACTTATGAGTTTGATTATCTCTTTTGTATCTTTCGTCTATCTTTTGCTAAGCATGCATATTTTTTCTGTGACTTTGCCACGTGATAATTTTTTCCCTTATAAACACAGCTGTTTCCTGGTTTATGCGTTGCAGAGTATTGATTTGCATTCTGACTTCTGCAAGGTTAATTATCTGCAGCTCTTACCAGGCCAGGATATTCATTCTTAAAATCCTTCTGCCCCCTCCCCTCGAAAATCAAAAGATCGCCCCATAAAAAAGCTTAACACCAAAATATACTTTGTTGCAAGATATATTTAGCATGAAAATGTAAAAGATATTTTTGGATAAAACTGTGGCTTATATCTTTTTTGACCGTAAACTGCTAGAAAAATTGCCATTTTAGGTCAAATTTGTCAATTTCAACACGTTTGTGATGTCACTTGTGACCTTTTTGCACTAAAGTGTCCTACAGCCTGTTGATTTATCAATAAAGTTATCATAATTTTGATAGGCTTGAATAATATTACTTTTTTGGGGGCAATTTCAGGGACCAAATAATGGCTCTTATCGTACCTCCCTCTTTGACGGATAAGACTGTGAGTCTGTGACCAAAAATACTCATCTGACTTTATTGTAGGGTTGTCATATCAAAAGGAAGTTTAACTATAACTATTGGTTAAAGAAGACTAACAATAATATAGATTTGCAAATTGAACCCAAAAAAAAACCACATCAAGTCAAAACTTTACAAAAACAAATAAAAGATAAAAGATCTAAGTTTCTAACTATTCTCAATGTTAACAGATCAAACTTTCTCTGATTTAAAAGCCTTGAAATACCTGTAACATTGCAATACTGGTTGTTAATTGACTTTTATTATAGTGAATATTAAAGTTTTGGTGTTTTTACCCTTTAAAATTTTTGTGGTTTAATCTTTACAGAGCCCCTTAGGTGCCAGGTAAATATAATTATTTTTGTTTGCCGGATATTTAATCTGGTGCGTACAAGTTTGAAAAATCGTGTGCACGAATTTGAAACTGGTGTTCGCGACTTTTAAACTGGTGCGCGCGACTTTTTAACTCATGCGCACGACTTCGAACCTTGTGTTCACAACTTTTAAACTCATGCGCATGACTTGCAAAAACTTGTGCGCACAACTTTCAAAAATTGTTCGCAAGACTTTCAAGCTCGTGTGCACCTTCGTATAGAATCAGTCAAACTTTGTTTGAAAGTTGTGCCCATTTGAAATGTTGTGTGCACGAGTTAAAAAGTCGTGCGCCCGATTTTTCAAACTGGTCCCCATCACATTAAATCTCCGGCATATGAAAATATATATATTTACATGGCACTTAAGGGGCTCCCTAAATGTTTGTATTTGTAATTAATTTGTTGTTCAATCTCTGCATCACCTAGTCTTGCAAAATTGATCAATGTTCTTTCATTGTGACTTTGATGAAGGGGGATACAACTGCAATGAAAAGTTTCTATTCTATGCAAATATATTTTAATCAGAGTTTTTTTTTTAGCTCATTCATCAATATAAGGGAGATAACATGTCTTCTACATGTATGATAGGGGACCAAATTGGACCTAACAATATTTGTATTTAAAACCGTCCCTGATTAAAAAAATTAAACATTGATTCTATATACTAGTACAATAGATAAAACATTGCAGTGTAAGATTTAGGAATAATCTTTCCGTGGATACATATATGTCAGTTATAAAATGAAAGTAGATTCAGTAAAATGACAGAATTTGTTTTGTGTCAGATGAACTAAAATAAGGAGTTGTGGTATAATTGCCAATAAGACAACTATACACCAAATACCAAAATATTATAGATCTAAGCTACTATTGGTCTTCATACAACCTTCACCATTGAGCAAACCCCATACTCTATAGCAAGCTATAAACAATGATAAAAGCCCACAGCATGAAAAAATGTTTAAAACAAATAAATGAGAAAACCCATGCCTGATTTAGCTTAAACAATAAACTAAAAAAAATATAGCAGACAGCAACCAACGACTACCACTAAATCACAGGCTCCCGACGTGGGACAGGCACTTAAAGAATGTGTGAGGCGAGGGGGTAAATATGTTTACAAGTGCTCAATCGGACAAGTCTTGTTTGTCGTGTATGTTTTTTTATTTTAGTTCATTTATATGTTTTGGAGTTTAGTGTGTCGTCCATTTTCATTGAACTAGTACACATTTTTGTTTAGGGCCAGCTGAAGCCCGCCTCTGGGTGCGGGATTTTCTCGCTGTGTTGAAGACCCATTGGTGGCCTTCGGCTGTATTCTGCTCTTTGTCGGGTTGTTGTCTTTTTGACACATTCCCCATTTCCATTCTCAATTTTATTGAACAATAGTGTAATTTAATTTAAATGCACAACATAAAAACACATTGTAAAATTCAGT